ACAAACAAAATAAAACAAACAACCCCCCCCCAATCCTGATCATAGTAATAAGTACGCAAAGTGAAAGAGTCCGCTGGCCTATTGATGTATGAAAGTGAGTAAAATTCAATTTTTACTTATTTAAATTAAAATAACGGAAAGAACCTGGGCAGTGGCGGCCCATGTCTTTAATTCTCAGCACTCAGGAAATGTCTATGACTTCGAGGCCAGCCTGGTCTACAGAGCAAGTTCCAGGACAGCCAGGGCTACACGGAGAAATCCTGTCATGAAAAACCAAAGCCACAATAAAATAAAGTAGAACAGAAAGATTCTTGCTTCTCCATAGTTTGTCTTTGTTGCCATTAGTAAAAAAAAATATTATATACCAATTTTGCTCTATTGTAACTGTATAGTCCTCACCTAGCTGGTCTCTGCTGCATAGGAGGTGAGGTATCCCAAGGGAAGGTGTACTCTTGGGACTCTGACAGGGATATTGGCCCTCATTCATTCACCTGCTCTGCCTGGGCACTTAAGTCATTTGCCCATGCTGGGTTAAATATGTTCCTGGCAGCAGATAGCTCTCCGTAGGCAGGAAAAGAAAAGAGGCCCGTAGTTAAACTACAAACCAGCCAGCTAAACGCAGCGAGACTCCTGCCAAGGTCAGAGACCAGCCATGCCTGCTAAGGTTGGCATCAAGAGCAGGTGAGGTAAGGTCACCGGCCAATCAACAGATTAAAGTTGGATAGAGTGGGGCTTCAATGTCTGAGTCCCCCACTGGGCAAGCAGTGGGTAGACAGCTTTTCAGTTGGGACAAAAGGCCACGCCCAAAGTGTGTGGGTACCCTACTCACGAGGCCCACCATATGCCCTGAATTAAGCAATGTGAATAGAAACTACCTCAGATTTTGTCCAGCGTCTGCCATAAGTCCTGGGAAAAGGCCGCACACAGGCAGTGCATCCATTTTTATCTGCCTTTGGGTCCCCTTCTACTCAGGAGTTACCTCAGTTTTTCTTAATAATCTGCCTTTGCTTTGCTCAGTTCTCCTTTGTTGGTGTCTTTATTCCTCGCTGGCAGGAGACTAAGAACTCCAGAGCACCTGTCTCAGGTTGGCTTTTAGCACCATGAAGCTCATCTGGGCCGGCAGAGGCCCTGTCTCTTTCAAAGACACGCATCAAATTTACATAGAATTAACTGATCCTCACAAAATGGAAACATGATTTACAAGATTTCTTACGAAGAACTGCGTCAAAACTCTTACTAAAGTATAAGTACAAGGAAAAAAAAAGACCCCCTTTTAGGCTTCTGGTACAAGCTCCTGTAGCTTACTCTGATATGAAACTAAGGGTGACCTCGTCAGACATGACAAGAATAGCTACGCATGGAGCTTTTTCATGGGGATTCTAGGCAGTGTGAGTCTCCACTCTCTGCAGTGCCTTGAAACTCGGCAAGGTGTAAATATTTCTTCTTTTGGCCTCCAAAGATACATTCATAAACACATGCACACACACACATACACATGATATGTTTACATGATCGTTACAATAGTTTGTTTACTTTTAAGTGTATAATTCGTGGTTGTTGCATACGGTATTTCATTTATCGATGTACTAATAAATTAACATATAATATTACCCTTATGATGTGACAGAATGCTAGGTATGTCTTTACTGTATAGTCACATAGGTTAATAGATATAATTGTATTTGTGCATGCTCAAAAAATTTTAATGACACAATCAAAAAACCTGAAAGACAACTAGATTAAAAGATGCACTTGGAAGACATCTGGCCTTGTTATCATTATCATCAAGAGACTGAGGGCTAACACGGGTGTTTTGTAATATCTTTGATTCTATCTGGAAGTGGTTATTACTAATTATTCTATCTAGAGCAGCAGGGCGTTGCTGGGTGGGCAGTCTGGGAGGCCGTACTGAGGCAGTGACTCAGGAGAAGGGCCCCATGCAGGAATCTGCTTTAGTCCTTGTGCCCACACCAGGACAGGGTAACATAACCTTCTGTACAGGTTTTTCAAGGATAAATGAATTAGTGAACAAAAGAATTCAGGTCATGTCCTCATAGTTAACAAGAGTTCAGTGAGTGTCAACTAGTGTTAAACTTGACAAAACAGATACAAAACCCACAACTAACCTTGCTACCTACTGCCCCTTACTGGCCAGTATTGCTTTGCGCACCACATTCTCTGTGGGATAGCTAAATAAATATTTGGAAAATGCAAAGCTTTCAGAGTTTAAGGAAACTTTAAACTTCACTTTAGAATTTTTTTTTCACAAAAATAGTGTGGAGAAGAATTAACTGCCATGACAGTAAGCCATCTGAAAGATGTATAGGGAGAGAAATAACCTTTAAGATAACTCATTTGCTGCCCGCGGTGAGGCTGGATTGTAATCCCAGCATTTAGATGCTATTGAGGCAGGATGGGGAGTTCAAGGTCAGTCTAGACAGCACTGCAAAACTCTGTCTCAAAAAAAAAAATACTCCCAGCCCTAAATAGTACATTTTATAACAAAACCCCTAAACAACTCATTTTCTGTAGTTACAAGCAACTTTTAAAACAGAGCCTTTGGCGGTACTCTGAAGCAGAGGCCTCAGGGGATCAGGATAATGTAGAGAATGTGTGCTGACAGGAACTCACGCTCTGAGAGGACCAGGTGCCTGTGCAGTCCCACCTTGCGGTTGGGGTGAGAAGGCAGTAGTCTCCTACTGCAGACTACACAGCAAGTGCCCGCTGAGGCACACGGGTGCCTGCTGAGGCACATGGGTGCCAGGTGCTTTCCTTATACCTTCTTTTTCTATTTTTTCCTTCTTAAGATAAATATGTTCATCTTATAAAGAGTAGAACAGTATAGTGAACATCCCAATACATATCACTCCCACTAGCATTTAGCTATTTTTCTGAATTCTTTTAAAATATAGTTATCAAGTGTGTCAGCCTAGATACGTCACTATGCATGCTAAAATAAACCCATTTTCCTGCATAAGCCAAAACCGCTACCTATTTAATAATGATTGTCTAATATCATCAAATACTGCCATCCAAATTCAAGTTCAGTTGTCCCTAAAATATATTTCTATTTGAGTCAACATATCAGAATCAATCAAGGACAAGCCATCACATTTAGCCCTCAGGTCTCGTTTCTCTTAGACTAGAACAGCCCTCCCTCAGTCTTGTCTTTCCAAAAACACCTTTTAATACATGTATACGGTTACCCATTTTGTGTGTGTATGTGGGCGCACGCAGAGGTCAGAGGAAACCTACAGGAGCTGGGTCTTTCCTACCATATGGGTACTGGAGATGTAACGCTCTTCAGGCTTGGTAGCAAGTGCTTTACCTACTCTAGCTGGACCCAGCCTTACCTTTTATTTTCAATCACAACAATGTTAAGAGATATGTTCAAGGTGTTCTTGTTTTCTTCTATTGCCATTTATTCTTAGACGTAAATAGTTTCTGGAACAGGGTGTTGTTATATAAGGCTCATTTTGAGGCTAAAGACCTTTGTAAATTGTAGTTCACAGGTGTGTAGGTTTAATGTTGCTTCATATTGTTGTTGCTGCTGTTGTTGTTTTTCAAAACAGGGTTTCTCTGTATAACAGCCCTGGCTATTCTGGAACTCCATCTGTAGGCCAGGCTGCCCTTGAACTCACAGAGATCTGCCTGCCTCTGCCTCCTGAGTGCTGGGGTTAAAGGTGCAGTCCACAATGCCCAGCGTCATGCCGCTTCCTATCAGAAGACTGTGTCAGGCTAGTCTTCTTTTATTGATGACCAGATTGACTGGCTATCAGGTGAGAGAGGTCATGTTTCCTAAATAGTCCTGGTCCCCCTGCCCAATGACTAGCAGTGATCCCTGGGGGATACCCGATACCTATGAACATTTCTGTGGCCTGACGCTCCTAACAGTAGGTTTTGTTTTATCAGAGACGAATGTTCTAACCCCAGTACCCAATGTCCCCTTCCTCCATTTAGCCAGTATACTTTTTTTTTAAAAAAAAACAAAGAATTGCTTCCTCTTCAGCTAATGCTATTTGGTTTTCAAAAAAAATACAGCTGGTACTAGAAAGGCAGAAGAACGCTCATTTTCTTAAATAGCTACTTTTTAAAAGCGATGCAGTGTTCACCACTGATAGCAAGGCAATATGATTCTCTTTTCTGTTTTAATTTGGTTTACCTCCTGAAGGGAATGAGGTACATTTAATGATCATTTTATAGTTTTCAGTTGTTCCGATCTTTAAGTTGTTCTCACTTTGTCTAGTGAGTGGTCTTTTAGGAAGGATCTCGTTCGTCTTGGGATTCTCCTTTTCTGGATTATTGTTCTTCCAAGAGGTATTTTTCATTCCCAGCTTTGACCTGGATTCAGTCATTTCTCCAGGAATCCTGGCACCTGTCAGTGTGGAGTTGTATTTAGATTGATATCTGAGAGCCTACGGCAGTCAATGGAGGGTTTGTGTCGCTCTATTTTAAAAAGAGGAAACAGATTGCAATGATGAAGACAGTCAACTGGTTAGCAAATGCCACGTCGAGATCTGAACGTGGGGGAAGGGCTACCCAGACACCCAGAGAGGCAACCTCAGTAGTGATCCTAAGAAAACTTGTAGGATCGGCCTTCCCATTCCAGGAAGGCTGTGGCAGGAGGACTGCCGCAAGTTCCAGGCTAGGCCGGCAGCAGTATGAGGCCTTGTCTCAACTGTGCCAGGAGCGGAGCCCACCGCACCACTGGCTGACCAGGGCCGTCGCCGTCAGACCGGGAAAACTACGGCGCACGTAGCCATCACAGTCGCCAGTAGCGGCTCTCTGGCTGCTCGTTAGATCCGCCAATCAGCGGTGCCTCAGGCAGGGGGCCGGACATCCGAGGGGATGTATCCAATAAAAAAGCGACGCCAGTGGGCGGGAGGAGGTGTAGACGGGCCAATCCTGCTAGTTGGCCCACGCCGGCAAGCCGACAGCCAATCCGCAGCGCGCTCTCTCTGCAGCTCCGCCCGCCGCTCTGCGCTCCCGCGTGGGTGGCCGCGCGCTACTCTTTTTTAGCAGCGCTGGCCGGGATCTTCTGTGCTTGACGCTGCTGGCGTGGACGAGTGGACATGGCGAGCTCCGACTGTGAGGGCCATGCGGGGCAGGAGGGGGAGACGTTCTTGTACTTCGCCTACGGCAGCAATCTGCTGACCGAGAGGATCCACCTGCGAAACCCCTCCGCCGAGTTCTGCTGCGTGGCGCGCCTGCAGGTCAGTGCCGTTGTGCCCGCGCCCGGGAGAGCGGGCTAGCTGCGACCCCTGCCAGGATCCTCTGGCTACCATCGGAGTTCTCAGCCCTCCACTGGTTGTCCTTTTCCATTGACTTCGAGCATCTTGTAAGATGCCTTTAATAGGTGTTTCTGAGTTGAGAACTAGCTGCTTTCTGTCCTGTGCATACCTTATCTATCTCACAGTTTTGTGAAAATTTCCCTGTCTTTTCCTTAGGATCTGAGCGGTCCTGGCTTTGATACCTGGATCAGGACTTGGAGTCATGTTTTCAACAGTGACAGCAGTGTTCTCTCAGTTAGTATAGTAGCCCGATGAACTTTAACTCTGGTAAAGTTCATCTTGACCATAGTTCATTTCCTCTTTAGTACATATTCTTCTGGCACTCAGTGCTGGGGTTACAAAGATGACTGAGCAGCCTCGCTAACTTGAGGACCTTTCCGCTGTACAACCTGATTGTGTGTAGGGCCATTGACGACTTTAGCGGACTTTGCTAGCCTTGTCAATTCTTGGCTTCAGGCAACTGAAACCGGCTGATTTAAGAAAGGAGATTGGGGAGGGGGGCGGATGTCGGAAGACTGTTAGGGAGCTCATAGATTCACCTGGAAGACTGGACTATAGAACTGAATAAACCGACAGGCCTGGTGTGTGTGTGTGTGTGTGTGTGTATATACAACCAGCATTACAGCAGGAGAGGACCAGCCCAGCCCTAGAAGCTGGGCTGCGTCTTTCCTGAACTAGTAAACATAATATGGAACTGGCTCCTGTCTGCTGCTTTGCCACAGCCCCGCAGTTCCTGAAACCCAGAAGTCCCTGATAATCTTAAACACTAGTTCCAGTTGAAAGACCCTGCGGGATGCCCTGATTGGCTGAATCTTACCATGTATCCATGTTGTCCTTACTTAGCAAGCAAGATGATCTGATAACCAGCTCCTAGCCTTTGAAGTTTCAAAAATGAGAGTCTTACTCTCTGTACTCTGTCTAAAACTCCTGAGAGTGTAGGAAGAGAGTTCCAGTACTTTGAGTACAGGAAAGAAATACCACGAAGATGATGAATGATAGCTGTGGTTAGCCTTAAAAGAGGACATGCAAGGTGCAGCAGCATATATGACCAGAGGACCTCACCTAGGTGCTCGGGAAAGCCCTCCTGGGTATAACTTTTAAGCTGACACCTGAATGGAGATGAGAAGAGGGAAAAACCAACCAAACAAACAAAACCAAAACCAAACAAACAAACAAAACCCTCGGAGAGGATAACTTGTTCAAAGCACCAGAGAAGAAGGAGGTGGCTGGAGACTGTAGGGAGATGTGGCACAAGGGCTGGAAAGATAAGAAAGTGCCACATTCTAACATGACTGTACTGGCTGATTTTGTGTCAACTTGACACAAGCTGGAGTTATCACAGAGAAAGGAGCTTCCCTTGAGGAAATGCCTCCATGAGATCCAGTTGTAAGGGACTTTCTCAATTAGTGATCAAGGGGGGAGGGCCCTTTGTGGGTGGTGCCATCCCTGGGCTGGTAGTCTTGGGTTCTATACGAAAGCAAGCTGAGCAAACCAGGGGAAGCAAGCCAGTAAGTAACATCCCTCCATGTCCTCTGTATCAGCTCCTGCCTCCAGGTTCCTACCCTGTGTGAGTTCCTGTCCTGACTTCCTTTGGTGATGACCAGCAACATGGAAGTGTAAGCTGAATAAACCCTTTCCTCCCCAACTTGCTTCTTGGTCATGATGTTTTGTGCAGGAATAGAAACCCTGACTGAAACAATGACCACAGAGGACTTTGGACAGTCTCTTGCAGGCTGAGTGGAGCGTCTTACAGGATGAAAGCAGATGGTGTGATTTACGTATTTGAAAGCTCGTTCTGGTTACTATGCAAAATGGGGCAAGCGTGGGTATTGGAAGCCCAGTTAAGATTTGCCACATTCATGTCAGAGATAATGCCACCATGATCTAATAGGGTGGTGCCAGGGAAGGTAGCCTGCTCAGAGCAATACCCAGAAGATAACATCATTAGGACTTGATGACTGTGTGCGTGTGAAGGGAAGAGATATCAAATATGACTCAAGTTTTTGAACAGCCGAGTAGATGATGGTGATAATGTTCACAGAGGAGAATCAGGTTTGGAGGTAAAAATTATAAACTAACTTTGTACATAATCGAGTTTAAGATGCTTTCTAGACAATCACATGAATGGTAAATATTTGTGAGCATGTGTTAGACATTCTCTGTGTGCTGGTCCCAGATCTAAGTACTTTTGAGCCTCAGAATAGATATGTGGTATTATTTTAAAGGTGGCTGAAGCATTCGATGGTATTAGAAGCTTCTGGAGGTAGTTGGGCTATCCTAGGCTATCCTGGGCTATCCTGGGCACATTGCTAAATTCAAAAAAGGCCTAAGCTGAACCCCAGGGAAACCCTGACATTTTAGGATCAGAAGTAGAGGAGGAGTTAGCAAAGAGGTGAGAAGATCAGGTCAACCGCAAATCAGAAGAAAGAGCTGATCTGGAGAGGTAACTGCCTGTGTCACACTAGCATTGAGCCATAGAACCAGACAAGGAATGACATTGCCTGCTGCATTTAGCAGTAGGCTACCAGTCTCTGGTGTGGACTGTAGCTTTGATCAGACCTACTGATGCTGGAATACCCAGTATGCTGCATGAAGGGCCTTGTCACATGGACCAGTGTTTTCCCTGAAGTATCAAACAAGGTTTCTGAGCAAACATAGGTGACAGGGATAATATAAACCAGAAGGGACCGACAACACTGTCATTTGGCCTACCCTTTTTGTATTTTGCTGCTAACGAATCTAAGCCCAGGAGAGATGGAAGGACACCTTCCTAGACCACACATGACAAGTTCCCTCAGCTCTGATTGCCCATCAGCGATGGTAGAAGCTGAATCAGAAAGATGTCTCTGTTGCTTGTTAGTTATGAGAGCTTAGGGAAGAAGAGGCTTAATCTTTGTAAGCTATAGATTTTTTGCTATAAATTGAGCAAAAGATTGGTCTATGTAAAGTAATAGCTGGTATGTATCGCACACAATAAATATTCAGTAAGTATTAGCTGCTCTTAGGTTACTGGAAATAAATGGGTACAGTTCATGAAGATGAATGCTCACACACATGCCGGCCCCCTTTAGGGCACATACAGTGGTTTGCAGGTAAGATACTCTACAGACACAGAAGTATATCATAATCCCTGTGTGACCGTCATCCAGCGGGTCTAAGTAAAAATGCATGTGCACTTAAGTAGGCTGAGATGTCATTTGCAAACAAGTGAAAGCTAAAGCTATTGCGTGGTATATTGAGTTTTAAGGATCTTTGTCTTTAAGGTTTTTTCTTTTAATGTTTAGAATAACATTAGAATAAGCTTCATTTTTAAAGGAAAATAAGAATCTATAGTCTTTGAGATTTGGGTCTTGATGATAATCTGTATTTTCCACAGCTTTGTAGACACAGAAACAAAAGTTTGTTGAATGGTTTACTTGCATGGAGGCCAATGCAGATTATTTGTATTTTGAGGAAAGAAATCCATGCCCAAATAGATACTGATCGTATCGCTTTGGTTTCCTTTGCAGGACTTTAAGCTCGACTTCGGCAATTTCCAAGGCAAAATGAGTGAGAGGTGGCACGGAGGTATAGCTACCATTTTTCAAAGTCCTGGCGATGAAGTGTGGGGAGTAGTGTGGAAAATGAACAAAAGCAATTTAAGTTCTCTGGATGAGTAGGTGGCTTCTAATTATGTTACAATAATAAGTAACAAAGCGGGCCGTTTAGATGTGCATAGTGGCTACACTGTAGTACTTCTGATTTTCAGTTACAATAATAAGTAACAAAGCGGGCTGTACGATGTACTTTTGTGGATACACTATAGATATGTTCTTTATTCTTCAGAGTCAGTACAATAGTTAGAACCCTGGAGCTTACTAACAAATCTAGAAGGGGAGGGTCACACTTACTGATTGGATGCTTGTCTCTCTTAGGTGAAAAATGAAAGCCCTTATTTTTTAGTTCTGCTTGTCTCTTATTAAAAATTATCTTTCTGGTTTCATATTGCAAAAGGTTATGAAACTTATAATTGTCAAAAAATGATTTCGAAAGTGAGTTGGTTAAAATTCTTTGAGGTTGCCGTTGAAGTAATAAGAAGGGCATTGACCAGCACAGTAGAACTAAAATTCTCAGAGCTGTGGGACAGGGTGCCTGATACAATGCAGACAGACTGCCAAGGAAGAGCCGGCTGACATTCTCTTGCTGTCAGATTATGGACTCTTGTTTGGTATTCTAGGGAATATGGCTTCGGGCACAAAGGTAAACGTGAGCCTATTGAAGTGTGTTTTCAGACAGGAAGAATAGACGGAGAGGTCAGCCGGAAGTGTACCAAATGAAATTCCTCTGTGTTCACAGAGTATTTCTTTGACCTCCAAGCACACCAGAATCTATAGCTGTTAAGTCTTTTGTATAACTTGACATGATACTTGGATGTGGCCTACCTGTACAGACCTGTACTACTTTATTGTCTCTTGGTCATTTCACTACCTAATACATTATCAGTGTATTTTACTGTAACAACTTTCATTTTAAGGGAATAATAACCAGTAAAAATAGTCCATATGTATTGAGTTCAGACCTAAGAAAATATTCTCCATCCAAAGTTGGTTGAATAAGTGGATCCAGAAGCCAACTGTAATATTAAAATGGTAAGCACACTAGGCATGGCAGCACACAAAAACAAGGTGTGGCACACCTTTAATCTCAGCACTCAGGAGACAGAAGCAGATTTGTGTGTTCAAGCCCAACCTGTGCTATATACTGCGGCCAGACAGGGGGGCTACATAGTGAAACTATTTTTTTAAAAAAAGTTTTTAAACGTGCTAAATGTACTTTTGACATGGTGACGCTTAAACGTTCTGCGTTACCTAGCACACAGTGAGCAAACGTGGGTATGTAGAGAAATGGTTAATCTTACACTTCAACACGAATAAAACATCTTACCCCAGAACCATTCTCCTAGGTCCCGTGTAGCTAAAATACGGTTTGTTTGGTTTCAGGCAAGAAGGGGTTAAAAGTGGAGTGTATGTTGTGATAGAAATTAAAGTTTCAACTCAAGAAGGGAAAGAGATAACCTGCCGAAGCTACCTGATGACAAATTATGAGCCAGCACCCCCGTCACCACAGTACAAGAAGGTAAGCTGCCTGGACTGCAGCTTTCTCACTTCACTGAGCATTGCAGGCTCAGAAAGCTTTTAACAATTTAAAATTCCACGTGAACATTTTAATCAAATGTTTTAAATAAGAAAAGTATATCTTAACAGATTTATGATATCTATTATATATAGCAATCTATACATATACTTTCGTAATTTTTTCTTAAACAGTATCTCATAAAACATTTATTTTTTTGGGGGGAGAGGGAATATATTTTCTGCTGATGAAGTATTTTTCCCCCTAAATGGAAAGATCACTAGGCCCTTTGGAGTCAGGGACTCCACCTCCAATACACAAGACCCAAGAGGGATGCGAGGCCCGACGCCCCATGTTACCTTGTGTGGCCTGTAGGGACTAGGCTGCTGTAGAGGGTTACACAGGTGCTGAGAGGGTCTGACCGGTTAGGGTCTTGGGAGTCAGCTGAATAGCTGACCCTCGTCTTCTGTGTCTCATCCAAGCAGAAACAGACAGTGCCATCGACAGAGCCGCTTCCTGTAAGCTTTGTCTTGTTTTAAACTGAATTTAATTTTTATTTATTTATTTATTATAATTTTTTTTTTTTTTGAGACAGGATTTCTCTGTGTAGCCCTGGCTGTCCTGGAACTCACTCTGTAGACCAGGCTAGCCTTGAACTCTCGAACTCAGAAATCTGCCTGCCTCTGCCTCCCAAGTGCTGGGATTAAAGGCATGCACCACCACTGCCTGGGTAATTTTTATTTTTTAAGAGTGCGGTTTTTCTTAAAACATCATGTGAATTTCATACCATAACAATGCATTTTGTCTTAACATGAAAACATCTTAAGTCATGCTGCTGTGTAGAACTGATACTCCGGCAATGCTTCAGACTCCCCAGAAAGTCCCTTCTGTCCCCACACTCAGAGTAAGGAACAGCTGGCTTTGCCTGCCTCTTGTTTTAAAATGTATTTATTCTTTAGTCATCTAAAGCCACTATGGTGTATCTTGACAGCACAGACAAAGCCATGGTGCTACACTAAACCACACTCCTAACTAAAGGGTTTTCCTGTTTTATCCATCTCTAGGTTATCTGCCTGGGTGCGAAGGAAAACGGTTTGCCACAGGAATACCAAGAGAAGTTAAAGGTGATAGAACCAAATGACTATAAAGGAAAGATCTCAGACGAAATGGAAGACATCATCAGAAAGGGAGAGTCAAAACTGTCCTAACAGATGCCGAAGACGTGTGTGCTAGTATGAAGGGTTTTAACGTTTGCGAGCGGGAGTCTAGACCTCCTTGTTTCTGACCTGTTGATTTTCAGCAGCGCCGTGAAGGGCTTCTCACTTAGACGATCCCTTATTTCCAACTGTAACAAAGAACTGGAGATACCGATTAGAAATTAAAAGGGGCCAGGGGATCCTGGCATGTGCAAGTGGTGATGGCTGTGGGTCCTCCTGTGGACACCCCTGTAGCCCTCACACTGTGTGGGAAACCTCTGTGGCGGAGGGTAGATCTGCAGCCCAGGGGCGCAGTGCTGCACTTGGTCTGCTTTCCGCTTGAATCCGGTCGGCTTGTAAGAAGTAAGCAAAACACAAGAGAATAGGTGGTAAGGCTCTGAGGAGTACAAAGATGAGACACTGTCCTTTGAGGGGCGACTGCATTCGTGGCTCTAAGGGGTTTCCCAGCAAGAGCTCCACCTTGCTGTGCTCAGCTCAGACCGCACAGAGCAGCCTTACCTCATAGAGTCTGTATTAAGTGGTACTGTGGACCCGAGCCAAGCTGGCCTTGAACCTGTGACCATCTTGCCTCAGCTCATATAGCTGGGATTACAATCTTGTGCGACTGGGCCTAGCTGAGGCTCCCACTGTCCAGTTGTGGGACTTGAGCGTCCCTGGTTCACTGGACCTTAGTTGCTTCACCTGTATAAATAGGGAAAGTCACAAACCTGAATTTGAAGATTTCATGAGTAAACACGTGTCAAGCTTCGGGCACAGCTTGGCTCTTGTCTTAGCAGTCATTATCAAGTAATGGGCTTTGGGATTTCTCTGGCTTTGGAGACATAAGCCTGTTCGGTTGCCCAGGATGGCCTTGTATTCAGGGTTGTCCTGCCTCCCAGCCTTTCTACATCTAGTCACACACGTGTGTCATAATGCAGCAAGGGATTCCATGTTGTTTAATCAGTGGTTTGGGCCCTTTAACAAACAATACAACTCTTGAAAAACAAAACAAAATTATAATTAGGTCCTAGATTGCAGAAAAATAACAGAAATCTTCAAAGTGTGATAGCCACTGTCCCAGAAAAAAAAAAAAAGGTGGCTTGTGAGCCGAGAGCAAGGCTGGGAAGGAATAGCCTCAATGTCCTGGTGCAGATGCAGCATTAGCCCTGGAGCATTTCTGTGCAGAGTAGGGTAAGGGACCAGAAGCCTTTGAAAGGACTGGCATGGCTCCTACTTGCTGGCCCCAGTTTCCACAAGTGAAAGCACTAAAGATAGGAGCTTGGAGCTGGGTGAATAGCTCAACTGGTAAAGTGCCTAATATATAAGCCTGAGGACCCCAGGCCCATCCTTAGAACCCCTGTCCAAAAACGCTGGTGTTCTAAGCTTGCAGTCCTAGTGCTGCAAGAACAGACAGGGCAGATCTCTAGGGCCAGCTGGCTGGCCAGCCTTGCCTTCACAGAGAGTTCCCAGACTGGTGAGAGGAAAAGGAGATGGCTTCCAAGGAATGACACCAAGGCTGGCCTCTGGCCTTCGTGCCCACCCTCTCTCACATAAGCCACGGCCTTACTAGGCATGGAACTGTGTGCTTGTAGTCCTAGCACTCAGGCTGAGGTGGAGGTTTGCTTAAATCCCACCTGGTCTGTATGTTAAAGCCTCATCTCAAAAACGACAAACAAACCCCACAACAATTTAAAATAGGGGAGTATGGACACTGGTTTCTGGGTTCTGGGAAGATGGAGTGGGTGTACTTTTACCTATTTCCCCAGTTCAGTACAACTAAAACTATTATTTATGACACAAATTGGGGCAGTACTGAAAGTTTCGGGAGATGGCAGAGCCTTCAGTAGGGCCTTAAGACCCAAGGCCCCAGAGTGCTAAATTCCCTTGAGTTTTCTTTCACCTCATACAGCTCAGGCATGCAACTAAAAAGCCATGTCCTGGAAGCAGAAAGAAGGTGTGCTTGAATGATTGTACACAATACACACAGCCTGCTCTGATGATGGTACCGGGAAAGGGACAGCTTGGCAATCAAAAACATTGAGAGATCAAACACTCCAGGCAGGCCATAGAGAAGCGCTGCAGGACGCGTTTCCACCATGCCAACAGAGGCCCGGAGGAGAGCCTGGATTTGCACATACCCATGCATAAGACAAGAAACCCTGTCACCCCTTTGCCACCGTAAGTGTAGTGTCAAAAAGCTTGGGAAGGACCTGGCATCAACACCCTCTCTCAGTGAGTCATCAGAACTAAGTGACCATTGCTGATGGTCCCCTGCCCTCCATGCTAGAACAGTTTCACAGTGAACCAGCCGAAACAGGACTTAAATAGATCGGGAGCCTTATAAAACTCCAGTATATTCTGATTTCAGTTGGTGATCATATTCCAAGAACTAGGAAATTCCCAGGCTAGGCGGTAAACTAACTATAGATGCCAGGGTGAGGTGACGTGTACTAGGATTATCTGTTACAGAAGCCAAAACATCCTGAGGTTTGCAAAGGACAAAGTAGCTGAGTGGGCCCCATGCAAGCCCAAAGAAGTGCACACCAAAGCACTCCATAGTCAGTTTGGAAAATGAAAAATTCTTGAAAGTAGTGAGGAGTAACACTTTTCAGAGAAAAAGCAACAGTTTCAGTGATAACGATGTTTTCCATCAGAAATGGCCGAGTCCAGAAGCGGCATACTTCATGGAGAGCTGGAAAACCCCAGAACCGTTAACAATGACTGCAAAGACAGACAAAGACAAGTTTATAAAAATATTACTAGCCATCCTGCCCAAAACAATGAAGAAAATAAATAATAAAAGGAGGAAGCTTTGCACATCAGAAAGATAAAAAGGTCACGGTGTGAAAAATTAGGATAAGTGCACTAGGATCCCACACAAGTTGTAATCCTAACTGCCAAGGCCTGAACGCACAGAGCATGCTTAGACGGGGAAAGAAGATAAGCCTCCTGTATTTGGATGTGTAACACCCCAGTAGGCAACCAATAAAACAAATACAGAAAGAATTTATTCAAAAAATTAAAAAAAAAACCCTCACTACACTATTAGAAGACAAGAAGAAAGCCAGCATATGTGTGTTTATGTACCTATAATCCCAGTACTTGAAAAGCTGAGGCAGGAGGACCATAAATATGACAAGCTTCAACTAAAAAGCAAAAATAAGATGGTGGAGTAATCAGGATGCCAGTTATTAAGTATAAGTATCTAAGTGTATGCTTGGAGCTGCTAAAGGGCTCTGTAGTTAAGAGTAATCTGCTCTTGCAGAAGACATGGTTTTAGTTCCCAGCACCCACAGGATCTCTCACAGCCATAACTCCAGTTCTGGAGGCTCCACCACCCCTTCCTGGCCTCAGGCACCAAGCATATAGTTGGTACACAAACAAACATGTGGGCAAACACTTATGCATGTAAAAAAAAAGCCCTAAACATAAATATGATAATTAAAACATAGAAATTGGCAAAACGGATGTAAAAACAACCCAGCCTTGTGCTGTCTACAGAAAACTATGCCAGGCAGTTTGAAAGGGAATGGTGGACAAAGATCTAGGATGCAGACATGAGCCAAAGCAAACTGGTTCCCATGTTAGTTTCAGATAAGGTAAGTTTCAGAGCAAAGGAAACAGAACAACTGTTAACTTTACCTAATTCATTTTTAGGAAGTTAGTACCCAAACTAACAATACAAAGAAAACTAAACCCACAGATGAGTATTCTTAATGAGTGTGGATTTTTAAAAAAAATGCTTAAGGAAAAAGAAGTTAATAGGATTCAACCTTACCTAAGGGTTGGGAGCCATGACAAAGTAGGGCTCATTCCACAGATGTCATGATGGTGTGGTATTTACAAATCTGTCAAGCCACCTCTGGGAGAAAAGAAAATGAAAGAACACCCACACACCCATTCACAAAACACCGAGAAAATTAGGAAAAGGGGACTAGCAATTTGACAAGAGTTTATAAAAATCATAGTTGGTGACGTTACACTTCAACTACCAAAGGCTTTACCCCTACACCAAAAGGGTCCACACTCTCCCATTCAACACAGTGAAATGGTACAGCCGTGCACTAGAGCAGAAGAGATAAAGGGAACACAAAGGGTAAACTGGGCAGTGAGAAGGCTCTGCAGGTAAGGCACTTGCTGCCAAGCCTGTAGACCTGTGTTTGAGACCCAGACTCACATGGTGGAAGGAGAGAACTGACCTCTTCAGGCTGCCCTCTGACTTCTTGCCAACAGCCCCCACCCCCAACTCTTGCTCTCTCAATCTCACTGTCTCTCCCAATGTAATAATTTAAAAAACAGTAAGTTACACCATCCCCACTTACACACAGAATTGTCCATGCAGAGAATAACGGGAGATTAAAAAAAAATCTCTATAATCAATCAAGTCCAATGGGGTCATGGAATACAAGGTAACAGATACAAAAAGCCCTCTGTGTTCCTGTATACTTGAGATGAACACATAGGCAATGAAAATAAAGATACAATACCACCTGGAGCTGTCTCTCAGAAGGAGACAGCCTGTGTGTGGCCCTGCATTTCAGTCTCAGTATAGCAAAATTAAAAAAAAAAAAAAAAACTGGGGACAGAAAGAGAGTTCACGTGGTTAGGAGCACTGGCTGCTCTTCCAGGGGACTTGGGACCTGTTCCCAGGACCCACCTAGAAGCTCACCTAATGTTCTATACTGGCCTGAACAGGTACCAGAGATGCAAGCGGTACACATACATACACGCAGGCAAAACACTCATACACATGAACTAAAAACAACAGCTAAGAATACCACTTGCAGGTTTGTAGCTATATTTTTATGAAACAGCCATTTTAAGTGAATGGTTGGTATTTTGTACAGTGTTATAACCATCTCCAGTTCCAAAACATATCACCCCCCAAGTGAAACCAGGTACAAAAGGTTTGCCCGCTCTCCCACCCTCGTGAAACTCGAGTCTGTTTCCAATATGTGTGGATTTAGTTGTCATACATACTTCATGGAAGTGGGATCATACAGGTGTCCGTTTATAACGTCCCTCCAGTGCCAGTGCGGTGTCCTGGAGCTTCAGCCTCCCTGTAGTAGGCGCCTGACCGTCACATCTGTTTTGTGAATAGCATGAGCTGGGTGCGTGCACCACACTTGTTTACCTTCATCCCATCGTGGGCACTTGGACTGTTCTCGTTTCCAACTGCTATGGATACTTCTTCCAAAAACATTTATGTACACATATTTT